GGCAGTTGGGGGGTGGGGGGAGTCCCAGGAAACCCAGTGGGGAAATGTGTAAGGAGAAACTCCGCCTGTCTTAATTTGTAGTCCAGAAAAATCAGAAAGGAGAGAAGGAAAAAAAGTCACCCAAAGGATTCCTTGTCATCTTGCCTAGGAACGTAATTTACAATGAGAGCAAGCACTGGTCATTAGGAAAATAGAAACAGCTTGAATCTCTTAATTAAAATACTGCTTCAAATTTTTTATTCTAAAAGCCCTCTGCCCATGAGCTTTCAAGAAACCATTGGGTTACCCTGAAATGGCATCTTCTTCACCAAATCTCTGATGAGATCAGCTCTTCCCAGGTAAGAAAAGGGCTGAAGAGGGTTGAATCCTGCAGGTCAAGCTATTAGATACAGGCAAGTCCCCAAAAGGGAACTAAGACTTCACTGACACTTGGAAGTGAGGAGACACTGGCAAACAGACAATCTCATCATCTTTTCTTTCATAAGAGCTAATCTATCACACTTACTATGCTAGTGAAAACTAAGCCTACCAATGCCAAGGGCCAATGACAACAAGGTAACACTACTGTACTTTAGGATACCCACTTTCAAAAACATTTGGTGTTATCTGGTAAAGGTGAGTATGTGCATACCCTACCAGCCAGGAATTCCACTTGTAGGGTGTACACTCCAGACCTGCACAAGAAGATTGCAAGCAGCATGGTTGCTTAGAGTCAAAACCTCAGTTAGGGGCAAGGGAGGACACATAGGTCAATAGTAGAACAGATAAATCATCTGGGGGTTTGGTCATGCTATGGACTACAATACAGCAGAAAGACGAAGATGAAAAAAACCTATCGCCACATGCTACGTTAACTGATACTTAAAACAACATGTTGGCCCAGCTGCAGTGGGACAGGCCATGATATACTGATCTGCAGTGCTGGAAACCACATGGCCAACCACAGGTTCAGATCCTGAGGTGACCAAAAACAAGCCAGGTGCACATACACCCAAGATTTTGACTAGCTGAATGGTTGGGGAAGGAGATCACAACATGATGAGACCATGTAAAGGTAGTCCACTCCTTCCTCTCTCCCTCATCTCTCTCTCATAACAATAAACTTCAGACAAAATATTGATTGAAAAAATACAATTGTTTAAGACTGCATACAGTATGATAATACTAAAACAGTAAAGATAAATAATATTTTGTTCAGAGATACCAATATAAAATAAAAACACAAATATCAGAATAATGGTTACCTCTCTGGTGAGAGAGAGGGAAAAATGGAGAGGGCCCTGACAACTTCAATGATAGTGTAAATGTTCTGGTTCTTGCTTAGATGATAGGTTTATAGATACATACTGATTTTACTGTGTTTCCATATATTTCGACTAACTTAACATGTGCCAACATGTTACATATATTGGTTTTCACACACCAAATATTACCTAGTTAAGTATTTTCTTTTAAAATGAATAATCTATAGAGCTGGCCCCAAAGCTTGGTGGTTAAGTCTGACCCCACATGGCTGACCACAGTTCAAATCCCAGCCTGAGAAGCTTGAAAACACACCTGGAATGTGTACATGTATGCCCCAAATCCCAACAGGATGGAGAAATGGAGAAGGAGGGATTGTGGGATTTGGAGGGTTCTTTTCCCATCTCTTTCTGTCTCTTTCCAGTAAGTACATGCACCTTCTGGCAATAAAAATTAAATTTAATTAATTATCTAAATAATATTGTTCAATAGACTATTCTAAATATTATCATAATTAATAATGTGCTAAAATTAATATTGTAAATATTAGTTATAATTAATGAGTGTAAATAAATAAATGTAAATTTAAAAAGAAAAATAAATAAATAAATAATATTGTTAAATAGACTATTTTAAATATTATCATAATTAATAATATGCTAAAATTAATATTGTAAATGTTATAATTAATATCTCAGGTATCATAAGTCCTCATGTAATATGTGTACCTAAGTCCTCAATTTGGAGATTAAGACCTTAAGAAATCAATGAATGAATATTCTCATAATGAATATTTATATAGTAAGAAGAAGCAGTCAAAATATTTAATGACTTAATTGGTTGTAAATAAATTAATGCAGAAACCAAAAATTTTAAAAAAGAACTTTTCACAGTAAAAAATTCTGTGTTGGTTCCAATGGCCTATCACAGAAACTCAGACATTTTAATCAAGAAACAAAATTAGTTGGGGAGTCTTGAAAAAATTTTGAATAATTCAGTATTAACCTGGAAAAAATAACTCAAGAGACTGAACAAAGATTTGAGACTGAACACAATTAGTTGTTTCATTTTTAAAACAGTGGATATCTTGCTTAAATAAAAAGAAGAGGAACTTCAGAACTTACTGGGGGTTGTAAACCAGTGTTGTGATCCTTCAAGTTCAAAGATCAATGAAAAATTAAGTGAACATAAAGCAGCTAATGAGTACCAGCATAACGTTTTTCTTGACCAAATAACTATTGATGCAGAAAAATTGATAGTACAAAACCTAGAACTAAATAAAACTAAAAAAAAAAAAAAGGCTTGGTTAAGATTAATTGCTTTCTGTTGTGATCATCAAAACAGCATGGTATTGGCACAAAAACAGACATGTGGACCAATGGAATAGAATAGAGCCCCCAGAAATAGCCCCCAAAACTTCCAGCCAATAGATTTTCAACAAAGGATAACAGTCAATCCAGTGCGCGTGCGCTCGCCAGACAGACAGAGAGAGACATAGAGACAGAAAGCGAGAAATCACCCCCCAGGGGGGATGGTCACGCCGCAATCCCTTCTCCTCCATTCTCCTCTCGGGATCTTGGGCACGCACGCACACGCGCCCGGCGTGAGTTTTAAGCCACCGGGTCCGGGACACGAACCGCGGTCGACTACGTGGGAGTCCAGCGACATAGCCATTACGCTAACTGCTGGTTCCCTGGCCAGGGAGTCCTTTGAAGACAAGGGTCAATATAGAGAACCTAAGGCAGGCTGGCTGACTGGACAGAGAGCAAGCAAGATGGATGCCTCACTGAGAAAGTGCCATTTGGATAAAGATGTGAAGGAAATGAGAATATGAGCCATGCAGATCACTTGGGGAAGTTTTCCAAGGCAAAGAGAACCCCAAGTGTAAATGCCTGAGGGAAGGGTATGTCAGACATTTTCTAAGAGGTTTGTGTGATTGGAAGGCAAGGAGTGGGTGAGATGGTGGGGATGGAGAGGGAGAGTAGTGAGTGGATAGAGGCAGAGAAATAGCACGCCTTTGGGCCATTGTAAGTATTATAATTTGACTCTTGTTCCGGGTTAGACAGGATGCTGATACAAGGGGTTGTCAAAGAGTTCACAGAAAATGCATATTATGGGGAAAAAACTGCATGTATTTCCTGAAGGAGGATTATGAGAGAAGCAGGGAGACCAGTGAGGAGGCTATTACCACAATCCAGGTGGGAGATGGTGGTGGTGTGAACAAGGGTGGGAAGGCCTTTAAATTTCATCCCCTGTACTGAACAATGTAGGAATGTGATTGAAACTATTCAATGAGATATTATCACCAAGTTGAGTGAGTGAACCTGGGGAAGAGAGAGGCACAAGGACTGGACCATGGGGCATGCCACCATTAAGAGGTCAGGGAAATTAGGAGAAACCAGCCAGGAGACCACCAACCAGAATTTGGTGTTTGTCATTCTCATGAATGTCTTTACACTTGTACTATAAATAGATGAACTTCTAAATAATACTAGGGGTCTGTGAAAAGTTCATGAAAAAATGCATATTATAAAACATTGTGCATGGATTTCAAAATGTTTGCACCAAAATAAACTCACGTTACATCCATTTTCTATGAAATTTTTGTAGGCCCCTCATATATAGAAAGTGAGAAAGCAAGTGGCTAGGTCCGGGACTCGAACTATGTTCAACTATGTGGGAGTCTAGTGCCTTAATCACCATGCCCCTTGCCAATGCAGCTGTTTGACTTTTAATTTATGCCAATCTGATCTTTAAAATTTTCTTAAATTTGTTATAGCATTTATAATGACATGTACCCAATACATGTAAATAAAAATCTTTAAGACATTATGTCCTAAGGTTAATTAGAGCATTTCCAAGTTTCATTCTCACATACAGACACTCTCCCCTTGGGTTCTACACTCTACCCAGCTACATGCTGTTTTCTCTATCAACATTAGGAACAAAAATGATGATGTGAGCAATATCAGTAAAACCATTATGAGGGTAACATGGAAGCTTGCTCCTTTTTATGGCAAATGTCACTATGTCTTTATTTATTGTAATTAGCTTTTTCTCTTTTTTTAGATTCTTTTTTATTTATTTATTTTTTGCCACAGGGCATGTGTACTCACCCAAGAGAGATAGAGACAGATAAAGAGGGAAAGTGAGAGTTCACCAGCAATATCAGTAAAACCATTATGAGGGTAACATGGAAGCTTGCTCCTTTTTATGGCAAATGTCACTATGTCTTTATTTATTGTAATTAGCTTTTTCTCTTTTTTTAGATTCTTTTTTATTTATTTATTTTTTGCCACAGGGCATGTGTACTCACCCAAGAGAGATAGAGACAGATAAAGAGGGAAAGTGAGAATTCACCACCAAGGTGAGATGGCCATGCCACAACCTCTTCTCCATCTTCTTCTTGGGATTTGGGGCATACATGCACACACAACCCAGCATGTTTTTCAAGTTGCTGGGTTGTATGCTCAAGTTGTGAAGTCAGTCATATGGGATTTAGCACCTTCATCATGCCACCTATTGGCCCAGACATTTACTTTGTTTAGTCAATGATTACAAAGCTTTTTAGAAACTAATAAGGTGAAGGGAGAGAGAAAAATTAGGGAGATAGGTAGGGAAACAAACCTCCTTTGCCAACATACCTGCTCGTTTTGGAGGTGAGGAGACTAAAGAATGCCCTACCCTTCCTCATCATTGTAGAAAAGTTCCTTCCATTTTGCAGCAGATTAATAAGGAGACAAGACTCCAGTACTCACGGATATGGTTGGTAGATGCACTGTAGAACGCATTGACCGTTGTGGGATTTGTAAACCACCTGTAGAAGGAGAAATGAATGCTATAGAATGAACAACATCATCATCCAAGAAGGAGGACAGCAATAGACAAACACCTTGTAGCTAGATTTATTAGCAGATAAGCATAAAACAATGGGGATTTTGCATGTGAGAGGAAACTATTGCCTCAGCTTAGGGCTGCTGCTCTGCTCAATGAACAATCTCATCCTGGATTGAACACGGTTCTGTGAGGATATATTAACATGCCTGGTTACTCATTGCAACTAACGTAACAGAAAGATCACCAGTGCTTTGGAAAAAGCTTTAATGAGAAATTGTAGAATCTGAAGTGCTCTACCCACAGATGAAGACAGCCACAAGCTGATGTTTGCCGGGCCTTGTTCACCGAATTGATGGGACAGCTGTGTTTCTATGCTGCATCACCTCTGACCTATCCATTGCAAAGTTGTGGACTGGTGACAACATAGGTGTCCATTTAAGAGAGATGAGTAAAGTAACTACCATGCTACCTGGAGGATCTTTCTGCTCCAGTGGAACATTTACTGATTTAAGCTCCAAAACATCTGACCACTGGTCTGGCCAGGGTGAAGAAGGAGTTTAGATCAGCTATTTGTTAACTAACGGAGCCCTGAAGGCCTTTGAGTTTGTATATCTTGTCTCCTAACAAAATTTTAAGTTCCTCATAGGCTAAAA